CTCCTGCAGAGGTTTTCTTTATCCCCCTTCAGATGACATTTGCTACAACGATGTTCTTTATATGGGCAAAACCTCTTATAGTGCCAACCTCCACATGCCCAGCATGGAGATGATGGTTTGTCGCTGTTATTACGATAATTATGTGTGCTGGAACCTTAAAAGACTTTTCTCTTGACTGCATAGACATTATGGAAACAGTTACCGTTTTCTACCATCGAGGTATCATGCTTCAAGTTCCATAGTCCCAAGTTTTCTACGAAGTATTCTGACTTTTGAAACATCATCCGGTTTGCAAACTGGAACATGAACGCTATAGCAACTTCATTCTTCCGAAGAATCCACGAGATTTTAGTTTTGATGATACAGTCAAAACCCTTTCCCAAATCTTCGAAGAACAATCATCTCTATTCAATATCCGTTACCAGTGCTTAAAATTAACGAAAGAACCAGGAGATGACTGGGTGAAGCATGCAGGAAATGTGAACCGAGAATGTGAGAGGTTCAGATTGTCGTCCATGTCAGTTTAAATGCTTAGTATATATCTGTAGCCTGCGTTCACCCAAGGATGCCGATATCCGAACCAGAATCCTAAGCAAACTCGAACACTGCCCTAACATGATCCTTCAGGAAGTGACTACCGAGTGTCAAAGGTTAGTCAACTTGAAGCATGATACCTCGATGGTAGAAAACGGTAACTGTTTCCATAATGTCTATGCAGTCAAGAGAAAAGTCTTTTAAGGTTCCAGCACACATAATTATCGTAATAACAGCGACAAACCATCATCTCCATGCTGGGCATGTGGAGGTTGGCACTATAAGAGGTTTTGCCCATATAAAGAACATCGTTGTAGCAAATGTCATCTGAAGGGGATAAAGAAAACCTCTGCAGGAGAAGAAACTATAAACAACATTCCTTGAAACCTTACTCAAAGAAATACAGATATAGTGCTCCAACCAACAAAATATTGGTATCACATAACAAAGCACGAAGTGGCCGCCAAAGAAAGTACGTAACCTTAAATATTAATAAACGCCGTACTCGCCTTCAGCTTGATACAGCTTCTGATATTACTCTAATCAGCCCAGAAACATGGAAGAACATTGGAAGACCCATAGTTTTCCCAACAACACAACTGGCACACAGTGCATCTGGGGGGAAGTTAAATAGTGTTGGAAAAGTGCCACGCACTGTTTCTAAAGGTACTGTAACAAAAAATGCAACAGTATATCTTACAAAGAAGCCAGCACTCGACTTGATGGGGTTGGATCTTATAGAAACACTCAAACTAGCAGACTATTCTATTAACAGTATCTGCAGACGAGTCAGTACTGACAACACGGCAGAGTGGAGCCAGAAAAATGTCATGCTACAAAGACACCAAAACGTGTTTAAAGAAGGATTGGAGGAATGTACGAAGGCCAAAGCAGTGTTAACCCTAAAACCTGCAGCTACTCTCGTTTTTCGACCTAGGAGACCCGTACCATATGCTGCTCTCCCAGTGGTTGAACAAGAGTTAGAACGACTTCAGAAACTAGGTGTCATCGAACCAGTGAATTTCTCAGAATGGGCCGCACCGATAGTAGTAGTAAAGAAGACTAATGGTAGCGTTCGTCTATGTGCCGATTACTCAACCGGGTTGAATGAAGCCTTAGAAACTCATCAGTATCCATTACCCTTACCTGAAGATCTTTTTGCTAAACTGAACGGAGGTAAGCTTTTTGCAAAGTTGGATTTATCAGAAGCTTATTTACAAATCCCTGTTGCTGACGAGTCTAAAAACCTGCTTACCATAAACACACGCAAGGGTCTATTCCGGTATAATCGACTACCCTTCGGAGTCAAGACGGCCCCATCCATATTTCAGCAAATAATGGATACTATGCTAAAAGATGTTTCAGGTGCTGCAGCTTATCTAGATGATATAATAATTGTGGGAGTAGATAGAATAGACTTAGAAAAGAAGCTCGACCAGGTGCTGACGCGAATAGCCGAATATGGACTTCGACTTCGTCCAGAGAAATGTGACTTCTGTATGCAAAAAGTACGCTACCTTGGGTTTATAATCGACAAAGATGAGAGAAGACCAGATCCGGAGAATACCCAGGCAGTGAAAACTATGCCCAGACCGACGTATGTCCCCACACTACGATCCTTCTTGGGACTAGTTAGCCATTATGGAGCTTTTATTCCGAACCTTCATCAATTACGTGCCCCCTTGAATAACCTTCTATCGAAGAATGTAAAATGGAATTGGTCTGCAACTTGCCAAGCTGCTTTCGATGAAATCAAGAAAGTACTAGTCTCGGATCTTATGCTCACACATTACGATCCATCTTTACCCATTGTAGTGGCATCAGACGCGTCAAACTACGGCATTGGAGCAATTATTTCTCACATCATGCCAGATGGATCTGAGAAGGCGATATCACATGTGGCTAGATCGTTAACGTCAGCAGAACGTAACTATAGTCAGATCGAGAAGGAAGCATTGTCGATTATCTTCGCTGTCAAGAAATTTCACAAGATGATATTTGGACGTCAGTTCACCCTATTAACTGACCATAAACCATTACTAGCCATCTTTGGGTCGAAGAAAGGTATACCTGTATACACTGCAAACAGACTGCAACGTTGGGGAACTACACTCTTGGGTTATGACTTCAAGATCAAGTACCAGCCCACTACTGATTTTGGACAAGCTGACGCTTTATCTAGACTGATTGGTTCACAAGTAAAACAGGAAGAAAACACTTCGGTGGCAGCAATCGAGACGGAAACAGAAGTACATCGAGTATTGGAAGACGCAGTCGATGGTTTACCAGTTACTTTCAAGGCCATCAAAGAAGCCACGGAAAGTGACAAGACTTTAAGAGAGGTTAGTGGTTATCTTCTCACCAAGTGGCCGAACCGTCGTTTTCAAGGGGAAATGCTACAATATTTTCGCCGACGGGACTCACTTATGATGGTCGACTCATGTATTATGTTTGGTGACAGAATTATTGTTCCAAAAGTATTACGCTACAAGGTTCTGAGACAATTCCACAGCGGTCATCCTGGTATCAATAAGATGAAAGCGCTGGCTCGAAGCTACCCATACTGGCCTACGATGGATCAAGATATCGAAACCAGATGCCGCAATTGTTCATCGTGCCTACAGGCAGCCACAAGTCCAAGCAAGTGTGAACCGCAACAATGGGAAAAGCCGAATAGTCCCTGGGAGAGGCTGCATGCAGACTTCGCCGGTCCAATACGAGGAAGAATGTATCTAGTCATAGTAGACGCGCTCACAAAATGGCCACAAATCTACGCCATGGTGAATTGCACAGCCAGTGAAACAGTCAGCGAGTTATCCGACCTGTTTAGCTGCTTTGGAGTTCCGGAGACTTTAGTGACCGATAACGGCTCACAATTCACTGCAGAATCATTCAAGCACTTCTGCAACGTTAATGGGATTGCACACATACGATCTCTACCGTATCACCCTCAATTAAATGGCCAGGCAGAGCGCTTCGTGGATACATTGAAAAGAGCACTACTGAAAGGGGGAGGCGAAGGGACGACAGGGCAGATGATCACAAAATTTTTGACATCCTACAGATCCACCCCGAACCCGAATGTTCCAGACGGCAAGTCCCCTGCGGAAGCCATGTTCGGAAGGCGTATTCGAACCGTCTTCCATGCCATGTTGCCATCCAAATTAGTGGATGAGCGCAGTCACGATCCAAGTATCCGGAACTGCAATGTTGGCGACAAAGTTTACATTAAATCCCACATCGGGAAGAACCGATGGGAGCCGGGAGAAGTTGTACAAAGACTGGGAAGAGTTCTGTACAGAGTTCGAGGAGCTTTTGGGACATGTATACGACATGCAAATCAAATCCTTAAGGACAAAAGAACGGTGCAGACTCGAAGTAACCGGCCGAACTTCCCGTTAGATTTAATCTTAGATGGAACGTTCTGGAATTCCAACGTAGCGTGCTACTATTGGTCGGTAGCATAATATGTCGTTAACGGATTGGCTGAAATATGATGTTGATTTAATAGACGTCAACATCTATAAATACCTATGATTTTCTGTACAAAAATGAACCTTAGGATAAAGTATTTTCTCTCATACTTGTGTCTTCTCTCTGGTGTTCAAGTCGCTGTGTAGTTCTAGACCGCGGGTTACCAGAATAGCTTAGGTAATCGTATATGGCGTTTCATCGACAAGACGTATGAAAAGCATCATCCATTTTGGAAAGATCAATATAAAAGAAATCTTCATACTTCTTAAACCACGAGTTGAAGGTTACACCTGCTACACCATCAAAATTAAATTCATGGATGGGGTAATGACTGAATCAGTATATGATACTTGAGATTAAGTAGACGCAGGGTTTCTCTTGGACAGGCAGAATTTCGGCATTAGAGTTTCGATGATTCTAATTTTTGGGACTCTTCAAACCTTTTTTCTTGACGCATCATGTAAGCTTCTAATTGCTCCAAGGAAATATTCATTGTAGTTTTCATCCCCGTCGCCACTGTTAAGTCTTTTTGATCGAACGCTGTATTCGTTTTCCTAAGCTATTCTGGTAACTTCGCAATCTAGAACTACACAGCGACTTGAACACCAGAGAGAAGACACAAGTATGAGAGAAAATACTTTATCCTAAGGTTCATTTTTGTACAGAAAATCATAGGTATTTATAGATGTTAACGTCTATTAAATCAACATCATATTTCAGCCAATCCGTTAACGACATATTATGCTACCGACCAATAGTAGCACGCTACGTTGGAATTCTAGAATGTTCCATCATTCTCTGATTGTCTAGGACCATACGTCTCCTTTTGGGTCTCTGGAGGATCCTTTGAGGTTCTCTGGAAGCCGACTCAACATTTTGTTTTCTATATGGAAGGTATTTCAATTTATCAATTGTCTGTTATTGATATTTTGTCCTGTATATAAATGATTCATTCAATTCTATTCTTTTTTCTTTCTTACTTATTTCTATAGGAAAAATTTGTATTGAAATTTCAACTGTCCTTTATATTAGATGGTGAATCGATTCTGGAATCTGGGAAGTTAGAATTACCATGCGGTTGACATTATTATTATTATTATTACTACTACTATCACTATCACGAATACCACCACCACCACCACCACCACCACCACCACCACCACCACCACCACCACCACCACCACCACCACCACCACCACCACCACCACCACCACCACCACCACCACCACCACCACCACCACCACCACCACCACCACCACCACCACCACCACCACCACCACCACCACCACCACCACCACCACCACACATTTCCATACTATTTTTCTTTATTCTCAAGTGAACATTTAAGAGAAGAGATGTTCTTCCCGTGATAATGTTAATAATATAAATTTTATTATGTAAAAGTATTTGTCATTTCCCTCTGATTGATGATGGATTGTGTTGACATGTTAAAAAAAGGAAGATGAATGATACTTCCCTCTGGCAAAATTTACATTGAGTCTAGGGAAAAAAAGGAAACAGACAAAAAAAGATTTGTGATACATTTTTTATACATTTATACGTTAATTTATTAATGGCTTCTTGTAAAGTTTCCTTAGTTTTTTCTCATCTTTCGTTGTTTTCAATGAAAGGTTTAAGCAGATATTTCTATTTATGCTTTTTCGACTAATATAAAGATGCTACTGATTTAAAGTAAGTAGTAAAATGTATTTCAATAAATTTATTTGTAATACTGATATTACTGTGAAGTTTTAGATTTTCAAGTGTCACTCTTGTTTGTTCTCTAAATATTTGTTCACATCTATTGTCAGTTTTGTTTGTAGATCATATATGTTCTTTTTTTAATGAAATGTGCCGAATTTACTTCAACTAATTGTCTTCTATTTGGTTTGTTATTATTTACTAATCTCATTCGATGTATAATTCATTTATTCTAAATTGTTTTGTCATAACAAAAGTTAAATCACTTCACAGACAAAAAAGATTGTCCTTCGGAGTCGAATTATCTATCTTCGGCTATTTCTAACTGTTCAATATGTTTATTCCTTTGAATTGCTTGTTTTTGATTCTTTCAGTATCGACTGTATTCCGTTCCGTTATCTTTTTTTTCTTCCATAGTCATGAAAGTTCATCAGATGATTACTTGAAGCAAGCAATAAAATCCTATTGTAATACAATACTAATATGGCTATAATTTATTAATATTCGTTCTTTTTTTTCCATCATTTTTTGATGTCATGTGAACTATAGTGATGTATTTTGTTTGAACCCTGAGTTGAGTTTCAAATATATCCATATATTATATATGTAGGTATTAGGATCTGTTAGATTTAACTGGCACTCTTATTGTGCTTATTCAATAGGAGTAATATGTGTTTATTCTATAACCAATGGAACTAACTACTTTATGTTTATAAAATTTTGGTAATTGTGGTGATTTATTTTAAAATTTAGTTTCTAATTGATAAAGTGAAATTAGATCAGAATTTGCAAGTTTGCATGTATTTTGATGGGTAAAATCGGTTAGACTATAATTTATGCATGACCTTTGAGTGATACTGAAGTGATCTTGTGAGTATCCACTTAATAATCACAACCAAATGAGGGTTATAAACTAATGTAAGAAATTAGAATGATTCTTTATATAGTTGGTGATTAAGGTTAGGAATTAGATTTGAGGTTTTCATCACAAACTGACATTAGCTCTAATGACAAAACTCAATTTATCCAAGTGGGTGAATGAATTTCGTGCCAAAATTCAAAACCTGCTATCTTATACATGATTGGTTCGCAAAATCATTACTTTTAGAGTATTCAAAACAGTACAGGTACAGCAATATGGAAACTACTTTAATTGATTGTAAATAACTGATAAAATACAACAATGAGCAAAGTATTTTACTTGAAACTTTCCAATTTCTATTGAGTGAATATGAATATGAGGGTAAACACAATTCAGTATCTTAACTTGGTGATCATAACATGTACTCAATCGAATAAGTATTTAAGTTGATAATCATTTACAGTTTATTTCAATTAGATTTTAAGTGTGAGTTGTAAGATTTTTGTAAGAGTAGTTGTTTTTCTTATGTAGAAATTTCTACAATTGTATATTTATTATTTAACAGACGAACTAATGTTGTGCTATATGCTACTTATTTCAACAGAACATAAGTAGTATGTAACACCAATCACAAGAGGAATGCATAGCAGGTAGAAGGCTAAAAAGATGAAGTTAAAGAGAATAAAACGGAATTGCGAATAGGAAGAATCGTACAGGATGTGAAGGATAAATGATGGAAATTAGCAAATGAAGTATTCAATGTATGGTTCTCATATTTTACCTAGACATTCTGTAATTATATAATAAAATACATTGGCTGTCCCCAGCTGTGTTCTCGTTCACAACACTTGTCCGTACTGATCATAAACAATTTATGTCATCTGATTTCCAGTCATATATTGCTTTTAGTCTTGGTTACTTACGCCTGTTGCCCCCAATGGAGCATAGGCCACCGACCAGCATTCTTCAACCCACTCTGTCCTGGATCTCCTTTCTAGTTCTATCCACTTGTTTTTCATTCTTCACATGTCTGTCTACATTTCTCGGTGTAATGTGTTCTTTGATCTCGGTGACAAACGCTTTTTCTTAGCGACTGATCTATTGATCAATTTCAATGCGTTTATTCTTTAAATTTAGGTACATGCCTCTCAATCTATTTACTGTCTTAGTCGTTTATAACTTTTGATCTAAATATTCTATTTTCCAAATTAAATCTTGAAAGGAAGATTTCATTTGATTTCGTGGAATCGTCCGTTGTGTTGAATTAAATCACGCATGAATTGTCAGTTAAATGGAATATAATTCATTTATATTGGAAGAATCATACAGAATTTGATAGACAAATGATAGAATTTTGCAAATGAAGTTTTCCATTGTAGTGGCTTAGCTTCGTTATTATATAGATCCTAACAGTGTTTGAAATCAGAAGGCAATAATAAGAAGCGACAACCACAATTGATTAGCGGATAGTACAAATCACGAAGGTATAAGCACATCTGGCGAATTTGAAGTGAAGAGGCGAGTGTGTGTGTGTGTATATGTGAGAGCAAATACAGAAGCAAATTTATAGTTAAGTTACATAAGGACACAGCAAAACAAAAGGCTAAAGATTGGACTGAAGTACATATATACATTGGATAAGAGAATGAATCATTGAGTGATACTTAAGCGATCAACATTTTAGTTAGAGTCTGTCATGTGATCAAGCGTACTCGTTTATACAAAATAGATAGTGATCATAATAGTACCAAAAAAATATGCAATTTGTTAGTATTCAATAAATAGCATTGTCTGTTAAGTTAATAAAAGAGCTTAACCGACATTTAATCATAAAATTGGTTGTAGGTTAGTTACTATACAAGAGATTCTGTGATTTATGTATTAAAATACATTGATTGTCCTTACCTGTGTTCTCATTCATCACAGTATGTGATAGATTGTACAGCAATGAAATCATATGAATATGACAGACTACATAAAACCTAATTTCATATTAAAATCTCTTATATCATTATGAAATATCAACAACTGTAATGTTTTCCCCCAAATGCCCTGGTATGGCCGAGAGTGGGATGGGCCCACCCTCCCTCTCGAAATGCTCTCACACGGCCACACGTATACAGCCTCTGCCAGGGTAGTCCTACTCATTGCCTTCTCGTGGCGGGGGTGTTGTTTACGAAATTGAGAGGACGAAAAGCGAATGTCCGGCGATTTAACCGGATCCCAAACCGATGGTGTACGTGGGCTCCAGTATCTTGAAGGAACAATGGCGTATGAACCAATCGTTGGTCACCGGCTACCATGTGACTGCATCTCCTCACGATGCTCCACTGTCTCGTGGATCGGACCTTTAGGTCAAAGGCTCGGGGTGTGGCTCCCTAAGAAAACCACCTAATTAGGTTTGGGCACCCGGGCAGTATCATAGCCCTCACACAAATCGAATGATTTATGTGGCGCATGTGTATTCGGTGCCTCCTTGTACCAATGTTTATGTGTTTAAATAAATGATAAAATAATAATAGTATTATTATAATACTGTGTGAATTCATTTCAGCTCATTGTTATACTGTAAATGTTTATATTAACAAATTAAATTTTAGGCTGTCTTCTTTAGGATTATGAACCTGTATCACTTAGTTTCATATTGTGACACGTTATCATTGAGCTATTCGAACAGGGTGTATCATGTAAGATTGAATTATCTACAGCTAACTAGTTAATGTCACATTTGGATGTTTGACTCTTGATCATTCAGCAGACACATTGAATGTGCTCGATAACTGGAGTAATATCCAATGAGTCAATTCAAGTTAGACCACCTTGGAAGCACTGGGCAGCCATTTCGTTTATTTTTATTTTGAAGCATAGATATTGGTATAAGGAGGCACCAAATACATATACACCACAGATCTCATTTGATATGTGTGAGGACTGTGATACTATCCGGGTGCCCAAACCGATGCAGGTGGTTCTCTTAGGGGGCCACACACGGAGCATTCGACCTAAAGGTCTGATCCACAATGCAGTGGAGCATCGTAAGGAGATGCAGTCACATGGTAGCCGGTAACCAACGATGGGTTCAAGGGCCATTTGTTCCTTCAGGATACTGGAACCCATGTGTACCATTGGTTCGGAATCAGGTTTACCAACTCCTTTAGGTGGACTGTCCGTGTCCACTAACCCGGTTAACTCGCCGGACATTCGTTTTCGTCCTCTCGAGTTCGTAAACAGCCTCTGCGGTACGAGAAGGCAGTGAGTAGGACTTCGCTGTCAGAGGCTATATTCGCATGGCCATGTTAGAGCATTTGGAGAGAGAGAGCTGACTCCCCACTCTCGGGTGTACCAGGGCATTTGGGGGCGGCCGTTTCGTCCTGACATGTGACTTTTCAGTAGTGTGCATTCATGATCCAACACGCGAGATTCGAACTCAGGACCTCCGGGCTGACCTCTAGACCAGTGAGGTCAAACTGTATCTGTTGTGAGTCAGTTACTCACTGAACATAATGATGGAAAGTTGCGGATTAGCGTGGATTGGTTTAATTTAGAGGCTAAACGTTCGCGCGGGAAACCGGAGGTCTTGAGTTCGATTTCCG